CACATACATTCACACACACACATTCATACACACATCCACACACATATCCACACACATACACATTCACACCCACATACACACCCACCCACACTCACACATACACGTTCGCAAACATACTAACCATTCCTCACAAAAAAACAGTACTATATTATCTATATATAGCCTCCTGATGAGTCGGTGAAACTCCAACGAAACAGTTTGTCACAGCCCCTCGTTTGTTGTCCTCTTCTCTCTCTCTGCCTACGGTTTACCGGGCAGTTCTGTTTGTGACGATATATATAAACAGTTTGTCACAGCCCCTCGTTTGTTGTCCTCTTCTCCCTCTCTGCCTACGGATTACCGGGCAGTTCTATTTGACGATATATACTGCCAATCAAAAATCCCGAAAAGAGAAAATTATTTTTATTTTTTTTACTTTCTTTTCTCCGTCTCCTGAAATTAATTGTTTCCTTAAAAAAGTATATTTTTTATAATTCTCTTGGAAAACCCTACAACTCCTTCTTTTCTCTTTTCCCCTATTATTTTTGACGGGAAAAATGCGTGAAAAACGTGGCCGCTATGTGGCCGCCGCCATGAACGTGGCCGCTCTCTGAGCTTGACCCGGCGACCGCGGGTGCACGAAAGTTCAGAGGCCCGGGGGCAAATCAGGGTAAGTCGGCCATTAGAGGGGCAAATTGCAAATGAAAGGAAACTTCAGGGGCATTTTGAAAATTTCCCAAAAAACAAAAGTGTAGGATCTGTTCTAATCAGTTTAATATCTGATCCTTAAAGAAGAAAAAAAGCTTAAGAGTTGGATGAGGAAGGGGAAGGGGAAAAAATGAGAAAAGGAAAGACGGGCGAGGAGATAAAACTTTTTTTCATTTCGGATGGCCGGGAATCATTTGGGCGGAGAGGTTTACATATCTATCGTCAAACAGAGCTGCCCCGTAAACCGTAGGCAGAGAGGCAGAAGAGGCCAACAAATGAGGGGCTGTGACAAACTGTTTCGTCGGAGTTTCACTGACTTGTCAGAAAAATAGTTTGTCATAGTCTCCATTTGTTGTCCTCTTCTCCCTCTCTGCCTGCGGTTTACTGGGCAACTCTGTTTGATTTTATATATATATATATTTTATATATATATATATATATATATATATATAGGGTTCAGCCTCCTGATGAGCCTCCTGATGAGTCGGTGAAACTCCGACGAAACAGTTTGTCACAGCCCCTCGTTTGTTGTCCTCTTCTCCCTCTCTGCCTACGGTTTACCGGGCAGTTCTATTTGACGATATATATATATATATATATATGTCAAATATATATATATATATAACAGTCTGTCACAACCCCTCGTTTGTTGTTTTCTTCACCCTCTCTGCCTATTGTTTACCGGGCAGCTTGTTTGACGATATACATATATATAATACCCGCTTATATCGACGGTCAAGGGGCCACCCGCATGCCACACGAAAGTGGCCTCTGGCCCGGCACCGACCGAAGGGCACAAAACCCCTGAGGACCAAAGTCAACTGCCTTGCGCCCAACTGTCGACCAAAGTCAACAGCCTTGCGCCCAACTGTCGACCAAAGTCAACTGCCTGTCGCAATATTGAGGCCCATGAGTCAAAGTCTTCACGGACCCAGCCTAAGCCTCTGGTCAAACACACCCACTTGGTGGTATGCAGGTATCCAGACTGCATTCGATCCAAGTGGAAGTCTGTAATTGTGCGAGATCTAGGCCTTCGGCTGTGAGTCAATCTGAGCGTCATGGGTGAGGAACCAGAGGCAGGTCAACCTCGTCAACCAGAGGAACATTCAGTCTTGCTGTGCTCACTTGACGCTGGCATGACACTGGCTGGATGCTGGGAAGATGCTGGCTCTGCGCTAGCATTGTGCGACGACAACGTGAGACTGCTGAATGCGCGTGCTGGCACTTATTGTTTTATGGCACCAGCTGTCTTCATGCTTGCTGATGTGGCATTGACCGCACTGTCTTCATGCTTGCTGATGTGGCACTGGTCATGTTGTCTTCGACATTGCTAACGTGGCGCATGCCACACTGTCTTCTACGCTGATTCGAATGTGACGATAAGGGAGATCGGGATTTGTGGATTGATTGAGTTGGGGAGAGAGGAGACTTACCTGTTGATTGATGTCGACATTGCGCACTGCTGTAACTTCTTCATGAGAGAACTGTGCCTACGTGGCACTCTGATGCGATCGGATGTCATCGGCTCATTTTTGGGACACTAGTTGCTAACGTGGAGGAGAGGAGGGGTCTAAAGAAGTAGGAACAGAGGGGGGGGTCTATCTATGTGGACATTGATGGATACTTATTCTTACACCTTTTAAGTCTTTTCTCCCCATCTCCTCGTTCGTCCTTTGGCTACGAGACATTGTATTTCAGATCACACTTCACAATTATTGGAGACTCTTATCAGCGCCGAGTTACCTTATATTTCGACACTTGGTGAGTTTCCTCCGGACTTTGTTAATTACAATTTGGTATCAGAGCCTACCTCTTCGTCGCGATCAAAGGTAAGTAAGAGGGAAAGGTGTTGCACACGTTTGAATCACGTATTTTGACGCACACAATTTTCATCGCAATCTGGACATTGTACGCATGCAAGGCAATGAGGACGTGGGCACATTGAAGACAACGACATTGCTGATGCGCCGCATTGTCGCTGATGTGGCGATCAGATACCGACCAAAGCATGGTTTGTTGCAGTGCTGACGTTGTGCTGGATGGTAGAGAGAGAGAGAGAGAGAGAGAGAGAGAGAGAGAGAGAGAGAGAGAGAGAGAGAGAGAGAGAGAGGGTGCTGATGTGGCATTGGAGCGCTGCTTACATGGCAAGGCGCACGGGTGCCGACGTGGCATCCAGTATTGGCAGGGTATTGTCTGACGAGGCACGAACCTGTGTCGTGACTGACTTGTAGACGTGGCGCGCCAAACTCCAGCGGTACCGTCGATCTGACATGGCAGTGGATGCGCGCTGTTATTGGTGAGAGATTGATACTTGCATTTGTGTGTGCTGGTGGGCGGTATAACATCTCGATTTGGCTGTAGTGCCACGTGTCGGCCCTTGTACCTAGCTGCATTGACATTTGCAAGGGGATAATTAGAAGAGGATGAACTGTTGGCATCTTCATTGACTGTTGTTTTTTTGGCTGACTCTACTCACCGTTGTTCTGTGGATGTCTGCTACTAATCTATGTTGTTCTTGCCTTTATCACACTGACCGTGGCTGGGGTAACTGTACACTCTCGATAGAACATCATCAGAAAGTTAAGACTGCAGAATTAGAAGCAGAAGTAATTAAAAATTTGTTCCTTATTTATTTTGTTTATTATTTATTGTTGTAGGAAATTTGAAATTAATCGAGTGTGGTCGTGGAATTGATTACTATTGTTTGATTATTTATTGTGCGGCAGACACATTGTAAAAATGTCTTTCCTCTGGAAGTGTTTGCATTCCTCCATCTTGACTCACTTCATTCTTATCTTCCTCTTTATCTCCATCACTTTCTTCGCTGATGAAGAAGGCGGTGAAATGAAAACACGCGGTCAAGTGGAAAACAAATGGCAGCAAATGCTAGCCCGCATTCACGAGTTGCGGATTGAGTTGCATGACGCTGGTCTAGAAGCTGAACAACACGTACGTAGCCAGTTCGATCTGCGTGCTGCAGAATCCGAACTAGAGCAGGCTGAAACGGTTGTTCAAATAATTGAAGTGGTCGGTAGAGGCAACAAATAATTGATTGAGCCCGAATGTCTCTCGATCAGTACGTTGCAGAGCAGTTGGCGAAGA